CAGCTCGGTTCACATTTTTTATCTTGCGCTCTATGGTCAGACGGTGAGCAAAATATAGTGTAAGCATGTATTTATTTTCGTTCGAGCTTTTATTATTACTTGAAATATCGGTGTGGATTTAACAAAACGTCAAAAATAATTTAAACGCATGGTGCGAGTTCAACGATGAAATATGAATTATGAATATGATGAAACGTTTGCTCTTTGCGATAACTATACATCATTTTATCGCAGTCGCACAGAATCATCGGAAAAAAGGTTCTATCAAAATGTTATAAAGGAAATAATGGAAACAAAACTACAGTTTTATAATATAGTCCGTTTCTACGTTTGTAAACATGCGGACGATTGTTCGGTTGAGTAAACAACGTATCATACTTTTAATCAAAAGCATTTTAAAACTCAAAAGAATCAAAACAATCAAGACATTTAAAAGAATCAAAAAAATGTTTTCATTCAAAATGGCAAGGAATTTATCTTTTAATTTTATGATGAAAACGTATGACTGACGAGAATCGATTGAGCATTGAAGCACTCACCTCCATATAAGGTGAACTGTGCGTCGTTTGTGCATGCCGATTGGATAGAAATTGGAATGCTATGATTAAACGATCGTGACTAAAACACCACACGAGTATATACGAGTACATACGAGTAACATACGAGTACATACGAGTGACATACGAGTAACATACGAGTACATACGAGTGACATACGACTATTTTCTGGTCAACAAATGAGAAACAACACAATTTCTTCAATAGATTGATATTTGCGTCTATTTTCCCTTGTATTTGTGTGGACTTTGGGGCAACCATTTGATGGATTTAAATGCTGAAAAGGTATTTTACTTTTATACTACATTCATTTGTATGTTTTAGTTGAATTTGTTATACATATTTTGTCGATGCGATTTGCCAGTATTTAAGCGCTTTTTGAAACACTTTCACGTAGGAAATACATATTTATGAAAGCGAATAAATAAACAACGTATAAATAATGCTTTCAAAACGTGCTACATGAAATAAAGTGACACAAATCAAACAAGAAATCATGCCGTGTTTTTATTTCAACCTAAAGAACAAAATCAGAATTGTGAATTGTCTTAAAATATTTAAGCAAACAAAACTTTAAGCTTTTGACAAATATGAAACATTTTCAACAGGAACCATATGTCTTTTCAAAGTCAAAAAAGTTTTCAAGGTTAAAATCTGTTCAAATGTCCACAATGTTTACATCAACCATGTGGCTTTTTACACAATCATATGTTATGTTTAAGGTATCATTAATGAGTAGTATTTCATCTGATAGATCTTCGGTAGAAGCCGTAGCAAGATTGATGGAAGACTTTGAAACATTTAGCAACTTTACAATCTGAGAGTTGAACATGGCAAGACGGATATTCTTAGAACAATTATCCTCACTTTGGACAATTATACTGCCAAACCAACTGACTTTACATGCCATGGTCTTCTGCTTCACTTTGCAGATGCTGCAAACAGCAATCATCCCATCTTTTACTTCTACTTTACCTTTACATACCACACAACCCATAGACTTGGTCACATTGCTAACACCAACAATAGTTGCTGTTATTGTACGAATAGTTTCAAATTCAATATCATCAGTGGCTGCAACCTGTTGAAGATCTTCTGCAATTTTAAAAGTGAACTCTCCAGTCTTAGGAGTATTTACATACCTGTCACCACGGCTATCTTTTAATCGAAGGTTATTCAAGTTGTAAGTTTTCCCTTCTTCTAGACAATCAACATGATTTTCCCATAACACCAACTTGATTGAGCTTGTTTCATCAACAATAACTGCTTCTTGCTTCTTCAAAGAGCCTTGACTTGTTTGAAGGCTTTTCACTGCTGATAACTTCACAACTTTAGCATGGACACTAATAAGTTGTTCTAATGATACCTTTTGCAATGAAGATATAGTGGACATGTTTGGTGTAGATAGCTCTTGATGTGCAAAGTTTAATGCCTGAACTGATTCAATGGAGGTGTTGTTGTTAATGACCACATCATTTGAACCCTTTTTCGTGCTCAGCTTGAAGTTTGAAATCTTTACTGCTGATTTTGCATCCTGGTGTTTGCAGAATTCGGATCTCTTTTTAGGAGAGAAGGAAACAATACGAACAATATTGTGTGGCGATGTTTGTAGTTGAGCTGTAAAATACGATGTTTGATTGCTTTGTTTCACGGGCGAAACAGTATGAACGTATCCCAACAGGTCTTTGCCTTCTTTATTTTCTATATTTATGAAAATATGGAATTAAAACTCAAAACCATTTAATAATTACAAATATAATTAGCTACTGTACCTTGATTTGCGAGGGCATCCATCCTAATTGTCGCAGAATTCACTGTGTTCGTCCAGAAAATTGATCTGCACTCTGATTCGGTTTGTTTTATGGAGTTTATTAGCAATGAACAATCTACACAATCTCTCCGACTATTACAAATTTGAGTCTATTTATATGTTTACATTTCGTGACTTACGTGCACTACTACAACATGAATTAATTAAGAGAGAAAATACTTAGGAAGTGTTAAGTATATACACCCTAATTTAATTATAATATTGGCACACATAAAACTCTGCATGGGAACTTATAAAATCTGGCATGCAATAAAAAATATAAATGAAATATCCTAAATTATACAACACTAATAATATGAAATTTGATGAATGACAAGCATTCATGCGTTGCAATTGGCGATTGGCCAAAAAATATATTGAGAAATGAAAGATTTTCCACTTCCGTTCCCGGGCTCCGTGAGGGAAACAGGGGGAATCTGCATATCGTAAGATTAAACACGTGAAAAAGTTGAGAAAACGTTCCATTAGCAAAAAAGTGAATAAATGGCGCATTTATTCATTGATTGTAATTTACATCAAGGCGATGAACATTTTAGTGTTCAATCCAGAGGTAAGCAATGTGCTTTTATGAGTTTATCGGCAGTTTTAACTGCTGAAAATATTCCAATTGCAGAGTGGTCTAAATCAACATTAGATAATGTCTTATTGCAAGGAGACAAATTGTATAAAAAAGCTTTGAATAGCCATTCAATAGTTTTGGACCCTGGTGTCGAATTTTTGGCTGTGGATGACTTGCCTAGAGTTGTTAGTGTGGCATGTGTTGGGAGCATGTTTTCTTACGAAATTGAATTACTCATTTTGGTAACAGAAAGAAATCAATCCATCGTTGAAAACAATAAACTACCTGTCATGGAAGAGCCTGTTAGGGCGCATAATTACGTTCAATTACCCATAATGGTTGACCCTCCACAAAACAACACTCAACTACCTATTGAGGTAGTGCGTATTAAGGCACAAAACAACACTCAACTACCTATTGAGGTAGTGCCTATTAAGGCACAAAACAACACTCAACTACCTATTGAGGTAGTGCCTATTAAGGCACAAAACAACACTCAACTACCTACTGAGGTAGGGCCAATTAAGGCATCCAATAACATAGAACTTCCTGTTGTTGCAAAAAATATTGAATTAACGATGGGGTTAAGAAACAACAAAGTACCTATTATGGTGGAACTCGTTGATAAAGTGATTTGGGTTATTAATTATGAACATGAGCTTCAAGGTCTTGTAATAACTGATGGTGAAATTGAGTCTCACTACTATACAATTCATTTGGCACTTTCCAATACATTCATCAAGCATAGGTATGCTATATTATTATTAGAAGGCTATATGATGGCAATAATAAAGCAATCAAACTATTTTTACTTATTTGATTCTCATGCCAGAGACTTTAATGGCATGCCAGATCCTAATGGCACTGCAGTTGTCCTAAAATTTACAGGTATTCTGGAGTTAGAGCAATTTTTGTGTTCTCTTGCAAATAACTTACATGTTAATGTATTTGAAATAGTACCTATTCATGTTACAAAAACTAATGTAAAACCTATAATAGGTAATGACACTGACTGTAAGCAGCAAATCAGACTTAGAAAAGTGAATGATTTCATGAAAAGAAAGCGATCAGAGGAAACAGTCTTTGCTAAACAGAATAGACTTGAGAAAGATAGACTATCTAAAAGACAAAAGAGGTCAGTCGAAACAAACTTTGAACGGCAAGCCAGACTTGAGAAAGATAGACTATCTAAAAGACAAAAGAAGTCAGTCGAAACAAACTTTGAACGGCAAGCCAGACTTGAGAAAGATAGACTATCTAAAAGACAAAAGAAGTCAGTCGAAACAAACTTTGAACGGCAAGCCAGACTTGAGAAAGATAGACTATCTAAAAGACAAAAGAAGTCAGTCGAAACAAACTTTGAACAGCAAGCCAGACTTGAGAAAGATAGACAGTCTAAACAACAAAAGCGGGCTACAATAGGGTCACAATTTCAACAGAGAATAAATCAACAAGATTACTTGAATACTTTTGACAACACTATGTATGGTGGTCTGGAAGAGCAACCTTGGGCTATAGCTAATATGGACAAGTTTCATAAGTCAGTGCAATATATTGTCAGTCATTGTACAATTTGTCATGAGGCATGGCCCCTTAAATCTAAACCAGCATCAATTTATGTGTGTTCACGATGCTCTAGAGACAAAAAATATCCTAGAAAGTTCTCATTTGAAAACTCCATGATTCCCTCATCTGTCCCAGATGAACTGCAAAACTTAACTCAAGTTGAGGAAATGTTAATTGCTCGGGCATTGCCAATTATGAGAGTTTATGTTAAACCAGGTGGTCAACGTGGTTATTCAGGGCATTGTATCAACTTGCCACAAAATGTCACAGAACTTGCCAAATTTTTGCCAAGATATCCTAAAGATTTGGCTGTAATTATCATCAAGGTTAAAGGCAAGAACAATACCTTTAAAGATGTGATTGTGAGAAAAAAAAAGTACACAATGCTTTAGTGTGGTTGAAGAACAATAACCCATATTATTCTGAAATATTAATTAATGATCATGCACTGAGTTTGTTGCCTGCAAATGGTGCACCGCCAGAACTTATGACTGTGGAGACAGATGATGATATTACTTCTGACATTAGCTCTTCACCTGATATAGGTCCTTGTACTGATAATTCTTCTGAAGATATTGTTTACAATGACTCTACAGATATGAGTAGTTTTTTACCTGTTGGTGAACAGCAACAGCAGGAAGTTGAAGCTGTCAAAAATAAGCTTAATGCAACTGACCCAATGTTATGGCCTACAGTTGAAAGTGATCCAATAAATGAGTATCAAATCTCACATTTAGCCACAATGGCTTTTCCAACATTATTTCCTGAAGGGAAAGGTGATTGTACTAATCAAGAGATTTTAAGAGAAGTTCCTCTAAAAGAAAGAATAAAGCATCTTTTAAAATTTGCTGAAATTATTGATGGTAAATGGGTATACCGTTTTGCAAATCACCCAAGATTTTCATATTGGGCTTTTAATATGCTTCAAAGAAAACAAATTTTACAACAAAGTGGAATTTTCCTGAGGCAAAATCCAGGTGAAGCTCATCTCACCTTAGATGAACTGCGAGAAATGGCTGCCAGTAGCAGTGCTAATGTTTTTATGTCTAAACTTTCCAGATATGTTGGGAATATTGCAGGTTCAAATGCTTACTGGAATAGAGTTCAAGAGGAGCTAAAAGCCATTATTACAAATGTTGGATCACCAACATTATTTTTTACTTTCTCCTCGGCTGATATGCATTGGCCAGAGTTACATGCATTATTTAACGCTAATGTTGATTGTGAAAGTTCTCACACCACCAATGAGACAAGGCGACAAAATGTTATAAAAAATCCTCATCTTGTGGATTGGTTTTTTACACAAAGATTAGAAAGCTTTATTAAACACTGGCTTTATGAAACACTTGGTGCAAAATGGCACTGGTTTAGATACGAGTATCAAGGTAGAGGTAGTATCCATTGTCATGGAACTTCTAAACTGAAAAATGACCCAGGTTTGTGTCAACTTACTGAGACTGCCTTAAAAGGTTTCTTAGCACAAAAGTTTAAGGAAGAAAATGATTATTATGATAGAACAGAACTAGACCAGGACATTGAAGCTGGTCACAGAGCTGCTGAGACTGTATGTCAATATGTTGATTGGTTATTATCAACCATCAATCCAAACCCACCAGATGAAGACATTTGGATAAGACCCGAGGTTCATCCATGTCAACGACCTCATAAAGATATCCCTGAAGATGAAAAACAATCAGATTATGAAGATCTTGTAAACATGGTTCAACGACACACTCGTTGTAGCACAAGTTACTGTCTCAGGAAAAAGGCAAACGAAGAAGAGTTGAAATGTCGCTTTCATTTTCCATTTGAACATTGTGCCAATACAAAATTAGAATTTGAAAAGCTTCACACTAAAGATGTTGATAATCATTACAGGACAAAGGTTGTAACTAAACGAAATGATGCAAGGTTGAATAATCATCAACAGCTTCAACTCCAAGGATGGAGAGCCAATTGCGATATCCAAGTTGTAATCGATCATTATGCTTGTGTTGAATATCTCACGAAATATGCAGCTAAAGGTGAGCCAAGATCTCCTTTATTGACGCAAACATTCAATTCTGTTGTTCAAACTGTAGATGTTAATAGTGAGCCTCATCGAGCTGTTAAAAAAATCGTCATGAAATCTCTCGGGGAAAGAGATTATGCAGCGCAAGAGACGATGCATCATTTGTTGTCACTGAAACTTCACAGTTCATCATTTAATGTGGTTCCAGTAAGTCTAAACGGTTCACGTAGTGTGCGTGAAAATGTTGCAGAAGGTGAGTCATGCACTAATCGTTCTCTTCTTGATGTATACGCCAATCGTCATGAATATGATAGTTCACAAGACGTTTTGACGATGAACTTTGTCCAATTTGCTACAACGTACAAAGTTGTAAAAGACAAACTTGCAAAATTGCCTGAAAATGTTGTACCAAGAATATTTCCAACATATTCTCCAAATCCAAAAGGTCAAAACTTTGGACTTTATTGCAAGTACCAACTTTTAAGGTACAAACCATGGAGAAGGTCTCAAAACAACGCATGGGATGATGAAGAAAACCCTACTGATGAGACTTACATCAACACTTGGCAAGATTTTTTGCAGACATCTTATGCACAAAAAAATGTTCCTGATTGGTTTGACAAGTTACAAGCTGTCATTCAAAGTGAACAACCAGAAGCTGAATGTTCTGAACAACCAGAGGTAACTAGAGAGGAATGGATGATTATATCAGACCTTCATACACCTTTTAACCGATCTGATGAAATGACAGAATTTGTGAATGACTGGCATGCTGACAGTGACAATTACTCTGAACAACAAATCCATGAATTGCCATCATGGTTAAAAACAAACATGAAAGAATTCTCCGTGGATGAGCAATATGATGATGTTGATATTGACACTTTCAGTAAAATGCAAAAAAATGCCTATGACATTGTCAAATCTCATTTTTATGATACAAAGCTAGATAAAGAGCCATTGTGTTTAATTATAAATGGTGTAGCAGGGACTGGTAAGAGTTACCTAATCAATGGAATTCGAAATTTATTACAAAGCAAGTGTGCTGTTGCCGCCACAACTGGAAAAGCTGCATATAATATACGAGGAACGACAATTCACTCCTTATTGAAGTTACCGATAGGATCACGAGGTAAGAAAGACCTAACAGGACAAAGCTTGTGTAGATTACAAGAGAATTTGATTAATATACAATACATCATCATTGATGAGTATTCTATGCTTGGCCAAGTTACTTTTGGTTGGATAGACAAACGTTGCAAACAAGCAACTGGTTGTTATGCTAAAGTATTTGGAGGAATTTCATTAATTTTAACTGACGATCCAGGTCAGTTACCACCAGTGGCTGATAAACCTCTTTATCATGCAAAGCCATCTAGCACTGTTGGTGAACAAGGCTTTCAAGCATATCAAATGTTTGATAAAGTTGTCAAACTTACAGAGAATCAACGAGTGCAAGGTATGGCATCTGAACAAATCACTTTTAGAGAGTTATTGTTGAGACTTCGCAAAGGTGAGTCAACACTTGATGATTGGAAAATGCTTCTTTCCCGTCGACCTTCAAAAGTCTCGAATATACAATTATTCAAAGATGCTACTAGACTTTTCTATAGCAATGAACAAGTTGCCAGTTACAATCACGAACAACTAACAAAGCTTGACCATCCAATTGCACGAATTAACGCTCACCATTCTTCAGAAATGACAAAAAAAATTCCTTCTGATGACATGTCTGGGTTAGAACCAGTTGTTTTTCTGGCTAAAGGTGCCAGAGTTATGCTAACCATGAATTTGTGGTCAACTGTAGGCCTATGTAATGGAGCTACGGGAAAAGTTGTTGATATTATTTTTCACGACAACCATCAACCACCAGACTTGCCTATTGCAGTCATAATTGAGTTTGAAAACTATAGAGGTCCTGCTTTCAATGTAGACAAACCATTTTGTGTTCCAATATGTCCAATCACAGTCTCTTCACAATTAGAAACTGGATATCATGAGAGGCAACAGCTGCCTCTAAGACTCGCTTGGGCTCTAACAATACACAAGAGCCAAGGACTAACACTTCCCAAAGCGTGGATAGATATTGGCAAGTCTGAAAGAACTGCCGGAGTTTCATACGTTGCAATAAGCAGGGTAAAATCAATTTTATCTTGTGTCATTGAACCAATGACTTACGAGCGATTAACAAGCTTGAAATCATCAGCCAATTTACAATACAGGATTGAAGAGGAAAACCGCTTAGATAGTTTAGCACAGACTTCTTATAGCAGTGCTTTTTAATGAACAAATTTTACAGCTACTTTATTTAATATAATGTGTAATCAGTCCTATACAACAAATCAATTTCATGGCCATAATCACTGCATGTATAATGTATGTAAATAAGATCATCAGCAAATACGATAAACGTAAGTTATTTTTTCAGGCTTATTACATTGCCTTCTCATATTCCCCTTTTTATGATAATGCAACAGTTTTTAAATATTATCTTTTTTTTGTAGATTTCTACATCTGGGTTATTAATTGAAGAATCAAGAACAGACTTTCAAAATACTACGATTTACGCTTTCAATAATGGAAATGCTATGAATAATGACTGCAACGACTGTACCATTCAAGTTTGTATGTGCATAAAAGTGATTCCTCACTAAAACAACTGAGTAACATGAATCCAGGTGAAAACATATAATATGCTATAACAAAGAAGCACAGGGAGACTTAAGAGATACATATATGACACCATATAACGATTTGTATTGATGGATGTGTTGATCTTGTGCTGTTGACAACCAAGTGAATGAAATTCTGAAGATTTCACTTAAGCTCCGGTTAACATGATTTAATTGTTATTGGCCGAGTTCTAAATGACAATATGCAAATTTTTGTAAAATGAGCTTTGAAAACTGTTCATCCAATTATTCCATTTTGAAATTAGCGTAATTATACATACATACAGTGTTACTTCTTGCATCTACTTCTATAAATTGATTTATATGACAAATTGAAAATAAAAGATGACACAATTAGCTTGTCTTTATGCAATGACAAAATATACGAGTTGTTGCAGTTTCTTGCTGTATTTTTATTTTTACCATTCATTACTGTATTGTTTATGGCAGATGATAAATGATGGAAAACACGCAATAGCAGTTTCCAAACTGTTTTACCTTACTTGGTGGAGGGGCAGCACTTCCCTTGCGATAGTAACTCCTAGTCATACAAGTATACTTATAATTCAATGTATCTTGCATGAAGTATTCCCATAACTACGTTATCAAAACGGCGTCGATCGATTGTGAAAGACATCAAATAATTGAATTTTAAATGTTGAAATACTCTAACACTGCTGTATTTTGAAGGTGCAAACAAGTGAATTTTCAATTTCTATGTTATATCCTACTTGTTTATCGTGTTAAATGATAGTGCCCGATGGGGGGCATCGTAAATAATTTTCTTACCGACTTTTTGTGCAACAGAATACGGCCTGAATGGTAAATGCTAAAATGAACTTTTAATACGATTATCAACATAAAAAACAATAGGCTAATTAAAATAAGAAACACATCTGACTGGCTGCGAAATCAATGAATCCGATTTAGACGTGGTATTAATCTGATGAAAACATGTTTTTTTACAGTGTCGCCCGATCGAGAGCAAAGTTCATAGATTTACGAACTTTATGCTCTCTTCGTAAACAATTCATGAACATTAAAAATTTGTGAACTTCATGTGAATTTTCAAATTCTTACGACTTTTGTGTTTTCATCATAACGATAAAGAAAGTATAAGTAAATCATAGCACAATGATAATGGTAATCTTCATTGTTCAATAATTCTTTTAAAACAGTAGCGATTTTCAAGATCATCCGATGTTTACCGGTAATCTCCGAGGCATTCCGAGTATTTTAAGAAAATGCAAGAGTAAATAAGAGACCTTGCGTCTGAAACTTCAGCCCTCCGAGACAAAAACAAAACTCTACGCCTATGATGGTGAAGAAAATGGGTAATCTCTTTAAGGAAGCGAGGCACCACTCAAGTTTAATAGTATTAAAAGACATAGATGACCTAAGTGTTTTGGAAACATAAAGTAATACGAAGATTGTGAGATGAGAGCAATACAATATTTTTGTTGCTAAACAACTACAAAATAAGCATTCTTAAGGTAAAGCCTGCCAAGAAGACAAAACTGTCCCTCTATAGCAGTGCACATCCCAATTGAAAAGAAAAGGTGACAATTACGTTTATAAAGCAAACTGAATGTCATGATATATGTAACAAAGACATTCAATGAACAAATGATTCTCCTTCAAAGCATGTTTCATAAACTGTGTCCTAAGATGACTATGTAAGTGTACATACATCAACTACCTGGTTGGAAGATGGATTCATTGAAATAGTTGGTAATCTATGTGCAGCAACTTAACCAGAAGCTTTAAAGAAAGAGTATCAGAGCCATGCTTTGCGCGCTTGGTTGGCCATTTTAAGGCATCTCGAAAATCACAGCTGTAATATAATTTATTCGAGTACATAAGCACAGCATATAAATACGGCGTGAATATCGTAGCAACAGTCAAACTATCAACCACATATGCTTCCTATAAATAAAAATGATCACATAAATCGAACAAAACAAAACGCGTGTTGAATACGCATCTGATTGCTTATCCCACGAAAGTGCTCGAATGGTCCCGTATGAAAACATAAGCACTAAGCGCGCAAAGCATGACCCTATACTCATTCTTTCTTTAAAATAGTGTCAGGAACTGTATTCTGACCGCTGTGCACTGCATTACGCTCATGTGGTTGTCTCTATTCATACTAAGCAAGTGCGAACAAAGTTTATATCTTGCTGGTTACAACGCGTTTTTTTCATCAATGAATACGTCTCTATACTAGATATATGCCAGGCCGGTAATTTTTGGTGACGTCATGCGATGTCATAAGGCAGTGTTTTTTCAGTTTATGAATACAATTACGCCATAGCTAGTTTGGTTCGTGTAAAAATGAAAAACTTTACCAAATATAAGAAAACGCCAGGTATGGTGCTTTTAACCCAAATTTACAAGTTTACCACAAATCCAAAGTAGTAGAAAATTATATGCCTTTTCTCACCTCGACATTTTTGATGTCTCCAGTCTCAAACAAGTCTTGAGTCTTTTCTGCAGACGCATTTACTTTTTTTACATTCCAGTAGTGTTGAGCTGCAATCATTGTTATTCTCGCATTCTAAAAATTAAATATACTCAAGTACAAATGTTCCTTAAAAAAACACACACACGCAATAAATTTTTATACGTAATTTTAAATAACACGTACAGTGAGACTGCATTTTGATATGCGTGATTATAAAACTGTTAGGTTTGTGAATATATTAATAATTGCTTCATATATTAAACTTTGCCACTTATAGGATGTCAAATGTCGGCATATCTATGATAATACAAATATTTTTTGTTTGGGGATCTCATTTTGCTTACATGGAACATAAAAGCTTAGATTATCATTCGCAACATTCACTGTATAATTTCAAATCTTGGTTAAGCCGTTTAAAAATTTGTATTGCCTTGTTTTCTCATTATGGAGAAGAGGTGTATACGATCAATTAAAATGGATAAAAGTGATTGACAGTTCTAAACAGGTCCAAACCATGCAATATTTTTATGTAGACGTATTGTGTAGTATTGATCAAGAATATCATTTAGACAGCGGTGTTGAAGTTGTATGTTGCTATTTTCAAAGGACTATATTTTTAATACATAGTTTGACTTTTCCAAAACCTATGTTTTAATATTTGCATCTTGTTAGAAAATTCCTGTTTGTAAAAAATATCGCTACACAGCACAATGATTACTTTTTCGTACACTTTAATTTCTAAATTACGTTTCTGATTATTACCTTCCTGGCAAACTTCGTAGTTATATAGCTTCATTCCATTCTCACAAACACAGTTGCCGCTATTTGAACATCCCTGATCTTTGCTGCATTTAGCATCATTGATGCAATCTTTACGAAGTTCTAGAGAAATTGATCAAAGAAATGTTTTGAATGAGTTTATGCGGCTTGCACGCATAAACTTCTCTGAAATTTCTTGACTTTGATACAAATTTCACTATAAACTTTAGCTATAAATATCAAAGCCCAGCAATTTGCTTTTAAAAGAGCCATTTAATGCATAAAAAGAAATATTTATTTAAAAGTGTAACGTTTCGTCTTGACTCTCAAGACATCATCAGACAATATTGAATTACAAGTATTAAGGGATATAAATATAATACCTATTTACATAATATTAAATTACATGGTGAGATGAAAACGTGCTAGTAAATATTGGATAAGATGGTATGACGTGGGATGAGTAGAAACACGAAAGAAACAAAAAAAAACAAAAAAAACAAACAAAGAAAAACGAACAAAAAAAACCAAAACAAACACAAACAATCATAAAGTATACAGACATGAGGACGGACTAAATTAGATTAAAGCAACTGAAGGACAACGGAGTTTCCTTGGACGTTAAGAGATGGTTTCATTTTGTTGATTAAGAGGCTTTCGTGAATAAGAAGTTCTTGTGAGTCTGAACATGAAGAGAGTATTTTAAAAACCTCGAAGGTGGTGGTGTGTCCTGTGGATTTAAGATGTGATAGTATGGAGGAATGACAGGGATGTTTAGAAGGTTTACCAGTCAAAGGGGTGATGCCCAAATGCTCTGAAATTCGAGCGTGTAGATGGCGAGTGGTTTGACCCACGTATGATGCAGAGTAGCATCGACACTTAAAAGAGTAGACAACATTTGATTTCAGAGTTTTGGGCACTTTGTCCTTGAAAGGAAACCAGCTGGAGAGGCGTTTGTTGGATCGAAAGAAGAATCGACTTCAGTTAAGTCTCGTTTATTTGCTAATTGTATTTCGTCACTGTTCTGATGACAGAAAGTGTTGGCTGAAAGTAGATCATTGCCAAAGTTCTTCGTCTCGATTGGTTTACTATAAAAGATTTGAAAAGTTTGTTCATTACGCCATGTAGCTGCATTCATAATAGTGTCCATAGAACTATTCAATGCGTTTGCCCTAGAAGTTGATGCAGTTCTAGTACTGTGTGCACTGTAAACTTCAGTATTTATACCAGCATCCTTTAACACGTATTTTAAACACCAGGAAATGGTCGCTAAAGTGACCAAATGATAAGGTTTTTGCTAGCTCAATGGGAGTTGCCTTGAACCATTTCGTATAGGTGCAGTGGCATTTAGATAATGAGACAAGTAATTGAATACACATAACCCAGGCTCTGGTGGATAAGCCTAAACCTCTAAAGAAGCAACATGCTTACCAGGCTTAGATGTTTTTAGCAGTTGGTGCACATGAAAAGCTATCCGATCTTCTTTCTTCTCCATATGAGAAACATCAAATGAATGAAGTGTTTGGCATCGCTGATTTGATAATAAAGCTAAAAACATTACAGTTTTCAGGGTAAATGATTTCAAA